CGTTTTAATACATATCTGCGGTTCTTATTGTCAACTTCACGTCTCTCTTTTTTTTTTTTCCCTCGTCTCTCAAACTGGTCAAGTGCGGCGTAACACTTGCTAAACAAATCAAGTAGGAACAAAAAAAAAAAGAAGAAGAAGAAAAAAAGAGGACATCGACAGAAAAGAAAAAAGGTAAGCTTGTTAACTGCGTTTAGATATTGTGATTGTAGATTTTTTTTTTTTGGGGGGGGGGGGTGTTTTAAGGGAAATGAGCAGCGTTTCCTTGGGTTTCCTGTGCGGCAGATTTCATGACACAGCTGTGAGTTAAGTACCTGTTGCTGTGTTATTAAGAGCTGTCTGTAGATGAAGCTATATTAGACAGAGGTGCTTGGCAACTCGGGGACAGGGGGGCTATTCTTAAACGCTCTATTTTGACTGACGTAAACAATACATTGGGTTTAATAATCCACAAACATTTCCCCTAGTTTCGTACCTTGGCATTACTTTTATTTCTAAGGTTATAGAGGTCATTGTTTCGATTTACACCTATCCATTGTGAGAATTGGCCCATGCCATGATACCTCCTCTTCCAAAATATTTAGATAGATAGGTAGATCTATCTAATAAGATAGAAGTTTTTAAGAAGTCTAAGATAGATAGATAGATAGATAGATAGATAGATAGATAGATAGATAGATAGATAGATAGATAGATAGATAGATAGATAGATAGATAGATAGATTTTTGCAGGAAATTGAGGTTGTGCCATTTTGTGGTAAGCTTTCACTGACGCCTGGTTCCTATTTGCAGAAAATACAAATTCTTTAAATGGCTGCCCACCAAATACACAATGTCCTGAAATCTTTTGTCCTCTATTTACAGAAAGGTCAAATGTCCTGATTGTGCCCAGAGTATGCACCATTGCTTCTCCGATCAAAAATATCAAGGCAATTGAATTATCTCCAGTTAAAATTAGACAAAAATTTCCTCACCATTTCAGTGCTCGGGCCTGTCGTGAGTTTATGAACTGTCTGACCCTCAAGCTGACACAGACACACACATACACATATAGGCTTTTATGCTACATGTAGATGTGGATTATTAAGAAGCTATGAGTTAACATAAATACATTAAAAATACATATGCTTTTAAGAAGTCTAACTACATAAACCAAAAGGTTGTTTTTTTTTTTATGAGAAGTTTGATGCAGTTCAACTTTGGGATCTGGAGTCCTTGCATTTATTTGCACGGGAATTCAACTCCAGTCACCAGCAGGTTGACTGTGTCTCTGCTTGGACGCACCCGATGCTGATTTTTTTTTGTCACTCCTTCTCAGTCCATCTCTTCAGATCATTTATTATTGGAATCCCTCTTTTGTCATGGGTGCCACTTAGGCAAAAAACAAAAATAAATCTTAAATTGAAAGGAGGAACCGAACCCGTCTGCACAACGTCTATACATGCTACATAATTTAGAAAAATATAATCTTATACAGTATTATAAAGTGGTCTTCTGTTTATGTGACCTTAATGAATTCCTTTAAACTATCTGTGATTTGTTTGCATTTCTTTTGTTACATCTGCAAAAAAAAAAAAAATAAAAATCCAGAACTCCTGGATAACACTCCTGCAGTAATTAAATACGGTTCAAAAAAGGAGTACAAATAATGTATTTTTAAAAGGCTGGTTGTAAAAAAAAGATACCAAGATGCTGTTCAGATCTGACAAATCAGTATTTTCTTAGTCGCTTTATTATAATTCCTTAACTTTACTCGGTCTCTCCATACCTCCTCATTGTGGGGAATCTTCCCCAGTGGTCGCCTTAATTTAAAAAAGCAAAAGAAAAATCTCAAGATGCAATAAATTGTCAGAAAAAAAAAAAGAGCGACAAAGACTGAACAACTAACATTGCGGCACTATTTTTAAAAAAACCTAAATATACAGAAATGGTTTCCTGGACTTTTTTACAGCCCTGTGGAAATATGATTTTGTTACCAAGCAATACTGGGTGGTAAATATAACGCTATGTCTATGTTAGTGTGTTCATGTGAAGCTACATGTTCGCTACATGCTTGGATTTCTGTAAAGTCAATGACTCAAGGCGGTCCGCTGCTTTTGCTTTTTACCAATGGGTGTTAAATGATCAGCTGACTTTGATTATATGTTTAGGATCAGTGATGCTGTGATCAGGATATTTTATTGGTTCTGGATGTGACACTCAGACCTTATTAGACTGAATTGGCCTGGTTTGAACTGAATTTGGACCTGTGAATTTGAAAATAAGGTTGTTGGTTTTTTTTCTGCCAAGTACCTTGAGGCTTTTTTTGTATGTTGGCGCAGCACAAATAAACCCAATTGAACTAAACGAACATTTTCCCCACAGAACGACTCCTACGCTGTTACAGATCTAACCCTTTAAGGATTAAATATTGTTTTCGAACCTTCCTCTGAAAGTATGCTGCTCTGTCATAAATTTTAAAGGACATGGATTTTTGTGTCTCTAGCTACATTTGCAGAATTCAAAAAATATTTTCTCTGGAACGATGAAACTTTATTCAGTTGTAAATATAATTTTATATTGATTGTGATGTTATGCACATTGCTCCTGCTGCTTCGGTTAAACTTTGTATACCAGAGGGAAGCACCTGTCTTAATTTTCTCAAGTTTCTGTCAGGAACATTAATAATATTGTTTTACAGCAAACTCAGTAACACAGTGACTCAGTGTCTCTTTTTTGACCACATATAGCCACATTTAACACACGTTAATTCCTGATGGCTCCCTGAACTCTCTTTTGATGTCAGATAATCAGCTATTATCTGCCTCAGTTGATGTGCATGCACGTGTTTACCATCTTTCTGAAACACGCCACCATGCTCTGAATGACTCATGGAAAGAAAACCATCAAAGCAGAACCCTCAATTCTGTGCAAATGCCCTACTTTTTTCCCTTTCTCATTCATGCGTGAAGTTTACTTCACGCATGATCACATGGTGCATACGTTGTAAAACAGTCAGTGTGAGTTAATTGGAATCGAACTGATTGAAATGTACCTGTTTGATTTTTTTTTTTTCCTTTCTTCTTTTTACTTTTCTCCGCATCCTGGTGCAGCTCCCGGTGATCCGTGAGAGGATCCCAGTGTGTTGCAGGGAAAAGTGGGTGTTGGTGCCCCGTGTTTTCTGCTGTCTTTCGAATCTAACAGTCGTTTTCCATCCCAGACCCACAAGCAGCTTTCTTCATGTGCAGTCGACACTCTATGACAGTACTTCTGTCTCGTATTCACGAGATTTTCAAGTACATGCAAATGAGACAGGTTTTTTTTTTTTTTTTTCCTTTTCATCTCCATCTGTTCTCAGAGACGGCTTGCTCAGGAGTCGACCTGCGAGATGAAAGGTCACAAGGATCAGGCAGATTCTGGCTGCCTGTTACAGATCTGCGCACACGCGCACCTCAAATAGCCGTTTTAATATGGGAAATCTTGTATTATGAGCCGTGAGGCGCAGTCAGGCTTTTCCTGCCCGTCTTGGCCTTTAGGCTCTTGACAAACCTGTGAAACCACAAAGAGCACTGCAGCCAGCTCTGCGCTGCCTGGCTGGATGCGGGGCTATATTTACCCATTTAGTGAAGTGTTTTTCACAGAGCAGTCTGTGGCGCTTGATAGCTGTAATTTGGTTATTTGGCAGACGAGGGGAACCTTCTGTAAAGACACGAGATAAAGATCTTTTCGCGCTGCTTAAAACATATGTCCCACTTCCCTGTCTTTCCACCCATAAAATTTCTTGATATGAGGTTAAATTGTCTCACTTCTGGTGTGAAAAAAGCTCAAGAGCTTGCCTGAGGCCTTGTGTGAATTCTTTGTGGTATCAAGGTTGTCAGTCAGATAGACCAACACTGGTTTTTGTGGTCCTATTTGTCCATTACACCCTTTGTTTTGCCAGAGCGAAAACAAAGGGCATCGTAGGTTTAGTGATGACGTGTCACATGTCCGATGCATTGGATTTCATTTCACTTTATAAGGTAATTGTCAAAGAAGCGGATTCCACCAGAAGTGACCCAGATGCCTTTGTGCCAAGCTTACGTTGAGGGGCAAGCGGGCACTTCAGGGGTCATGGGAACATGGGCGCCATATCCGCTCAAGCAGCATCAGCAGGGGCAAACGACTAAATTTAGAAAACTCTGCTACACGTCTAGAATTAAGGGGGAAAACCAGGGAAAATTCCTCAGGGGGTTTGGAGATGCATCGCGCGGTCACCGTGAAGTCACCAATAAGAGGTGCAAGTTAGTTGTTTTGCTGCAAAGCGCGGAAGAGTCCAGCAAAAGTAACAGGTTTTTATCTTCTGCAATGCCATGGTCTGCAGCAGAGGAGCGAGAGCGAGGTTTTTGACACCAAGTAAATAAAGAAAACAGAGTTTCAAAACATTCTCAAGCCAGCCGCAATCCATCCATGTCTACGCCGTCTGCCCCTCAGAGTCCCGCTTTTTCTCCGACCTAGCTGTGCATGAGAGAGGAGTGGGTGGCTCACGTCGGCGGGCCATCTTTCAAAAGCGCACATGCAAACACACATGCACACACGCACACACACACACACACACACACACACACACACATCATTTTCCTTCTGCTGTTTGGTTTAAGCTATTGCCTGCTGAACTTCTAAAAAGGAGCCGTGGACTGTATTTTTAACCCCGTCTCTCGGGGCCAAGCGGTGTATTCGAGCACCGCGCTGCTAGGCTGGGGAGGAGAGAGTGGCGGGGGGGAGTCACACACGCAGACTGAAAGAGTCTGCGTGGACAAATGGTCTGGCAAAAGTTGCTCTGACTTCAGACCACATCGCCTTATGGTGGTAAAAATAAACACCCCCCCCCACCCCCCCATGAACTGAGAGGAAGGAACCTGAGTCACTTAAACCAAACGGAGGACATTTTCTCATCAGAAATATACGGATGTGTGAGACTTTTCTTGTGTTTTTTTTTTTTTTTTTTTTTTTGGGAAAGGGGGATTTTTCTCGAAAAAGTAAATCTGTAAAATATTAAGGTATGCATTTTTTGTATTTCGGTTTTATATAGCCAGAAATAGGCTGAGTTAACTCCGTCAGGAGTCATGATGTAGTAAGTGTTGAACTGAAATATCTGCATTCACGTAAGAATAGAACAACATAGAAATATCCTTTATGCTTATATGTTTTTTATTTATCAGGATTTTTGCCTAAATGGCACACAAGATACCACCCGAAAAGATCTTGTGTTTCTAGTTGCCTTCAGGAGTCACCTGCTCAATAAAAAGAGTCCAGATGTTTTTACTTTTATTTTTAAAATATAAACACTGCGGTCATAAATTTATTAGAGAACATTATTGAACAAAAATGTATTAGTGACAGATCACACATCCAGCTTTTATTTAAAAGTGGCGAGACAAAAGCATTCAGTGGAAGACAGCCGTCAGAAGTGCCATTTGCAGTTTCCAGAAAAACGTAAATGATGGGACATGGTGGTGGCAGCATCAGGGTATGGGGATGCTTTTCTTTTACCTTGAAAGGGAAGCTGGTAGGTTTGTGACAAAAATGCAAAAAAAAAAACAAAAAAAAAAGTTAAAAGTCCCATAATAAAATGTCATTTGTTTTCAGAGTCGTGGGAGAAGACATGGGGAGAAAGAAAATCCAGATTTCTCGTATTCTTGACCAGAGAAACAGACAGGTGAGCCTTCACATACCACGAGTATAACTGTCTGAGATTATTTGTGAATTTTTAATATCAGTCTCATATCTGTCACTAAGAGATGTTTGATATGAAACTGACTTTTTTTCTTTTCATTATTAAAATTCAAATGTTCAACAAAGCAATGCAATACATGGAACGTCTAAAGTGCTTCATCAGGCAAATAAAAGCCATGACGATCAAAACTCAGTCAAATACGTTCAGGAAAAATCAAAGCGTAGGAACAGGCTAAAAGAAGCGGCTAATCCGACATAAAAGATCAAATTTATTTAAGTGTTTTCAGCGCAAAATACCGTAGAGACTGCAGTTTGATTATCAAGAGATTGTTATTTTCAGTGTACATATTTTTATCAGTATTCTTCAGATTTCCATGTTCGGACGCAGCTCTGCTGAGATGAAGGAAAAAATATCTCATGGTGTTTTGCATGTCCAAAACAACCAGAGCGAAGACTGGCCTATCTGACATGTAAATCGTCACTGTATGATGCGATTAAAATGTTCTGCTTCTATGCATTTATGCACTTTTGCTTTCAGTCAGAAAATGACTTTTAAACATTTGATTAGCAGATAGGCAGAAAAGCTCATTGTGCTGCATTTTGACTAGGAGGGGTTTTCTTGTTTTGTCTTGGTTTTACATTCCCTACTGCATCCCTGCTAACCTCTGCACACCTCTCAAGTAAAAAGAAAATAACAAAGAAATAGATACAATACAATACAATATATTGGTATCTTCAAAAATATAAAGGAAATACTTTCAGGAGTGATAAGGTTTTGAAACTATTATCTAAGTCTTGACAAGACAGGAATAGTGCCATCAAAGTGGGTCGATATGATAGTTTGCTGAATTGTCTGGTAAGAATATGAAACTTCTTCTGTGATGCAGTGCTCTAAGTCTAATCAGATCTGCATCCTGGTGTCAAAAACTTAACTTTTTCTTATTGCCGATAAAATTATGTAACCTGCAGAGGATTTAGAAAATGAACTGAGGACACCAAAAGGCCAAAATGAAAAGAGGAAATCTGCTTCAGGATGAAGAAAATAAATATTTTAGAGTCAAGAAAGTTTACGTACAGCAGTATTTTTTTTTCTACTTAGACACTAGCCTCTGAGGTGTTTGTGTAAACCTGCAGTTTAGGGACGATTATCGTTTAAAAATACGTAGCGAAAGCCAAGATGAAAGAAACTTGAGGTCACAACAGAAGAGGACTGGTGTTCGCAGCTTGTCCGTTGAGCGCTGTTGTTTTTTTTTTGTTTTTTGAGTTATTTGAGTCTGAGATATCTTGAGTATCTTACATGTGTGATGAAAGACAGTCCTGATTACTGTACATACTGTGAAGTCCAGGTAGAAAGTGCCTGTTTGAGGACATGCTCTTTACAATTAAGACTTGGTGTCAGCAGCCTTTTCGATTTAAAGAGCTAATTTTACCCCGGTGCTATAAAATGAAGTTTTTCTGGATCTTATAAGTTTGAACAAACATTTGAAAGCTAATGAAATTGATTTCAACTTGTTAGATTTTAGAACAAAATAAGTCATCTTTTACTAAAAAAAAAAAAAAAGACTTTATTTTTTGAACGAGGCCACCTGAGTAAACTCTCTCTCCATTAATGAAAGCCTTTTGTCATTGGTGCCCTTCTGTCATTCTCATTAAAAACATGCAGAAGAACTGATTAATTGAACTGAAAATGACCGTGTTAAGCTCTCAAAAGAACATAACATATTGCATTTATTCACAGCATGCTGATTTGTTTTTTGTTTGTTTTGTTTTTTTCCCCTTCACCGTGGAAGGTGACCTTCACTAAGCGTAAGTTTGGCCTGATGAAGAAGGCGTACGAGCTGAGCGTGCTCTGTGACTGCGAAATCGCCCTCATCATCTTCAACAGCACCAACCGTCTGTTCCAGTACGCCAGCACCGACATGGACAAAGTTCTGCTGAAATACACAGAGTACAGCGAGCCGCATGAGAGTCGCACCAACACCGACATATTGGAGGTACTGTGAGAGCTTTGCAAAAGAAACCCCATGAAATTAGTAAAAAATAAAAAATAATCAATTCTAGGCAAAATACATCAGTTGTTGCTAAATTAGCAACACAAGAGACTGTTTGGAGTGCAATAATTGGGTGCTTTTGTATTCCACACAAACTTGCAGTTTGCTTATACACATGTAACTCTGCCAAAAATACAAAAGGTCACAGAGAATGCTGGAAACGTTGCAACAGAGAGAGGAAAATGATGCGTTATAAAGTTATAGATGGCAAACTCCGAAACAAATCGACGCGGGAGGATGTGTTTCTAAACAATTTTCCCATGGTTTCAACATGCAACCTTTGTTTTTCCTGCATCAGACGCTGCGCAGGAAAGGCCACGGCCTGGACGGCTCCGAGCTCGAAAGCGAGGAGAGCGCGCAGGCGGCGGCCGACAAGTATCCCGGCAGCGACAGCATGGACCTGTCTGTTGCTCGCCAGCGCTTCTGTGTCAGTCCACACACACACACACACACTTCTGCTTTCACTCGCTCAAGTCGACACAGATTTTTTTTTCGCAGCGCAGATGCTCAGGTGGTCACAGTTTAGAAGTTGCGCTGTTGTTCTGATCCTCTGCGCCTTTCCTCTTGTCCTTCAGCCTCCCTCTCTTCTGTCACCGGAGACTCAGTTCCTCGTGTCCGCCGGGTGTGAGAACGGTTTCCCCAACTCTTCGGCGCCCGTCGCAGCGTCCCACCGACCCCCCGGGTTTAAAGCTCTGAGCTCTCGTCCGAGTTCTGCGAGTCCAGCAGGGCCGCACGCAGCGTTCATGTCCCCACATCCAGGTATGCACACCAGCTTTCTTAAAACACCATATATATATATATATATATATATATATATATA